AGGTAGGGGTTCATCATCATCATCATCATCATCATCATCATCATCATCATCATCATCATCATTATTTCCAGTTCATCATCCCTCTCATTAAGGTACTGGAAATGGTTGCTTCGTTTCATTTAATGGTATGACCGCTCTTGAGTCCATTCAGTGGAATCTGAGCATCCCATAGACCAGGAGTTGCAAACTCAACATCTGCGGGCCGGATCCAGCCCGTAGGGTGCTTAAACCTGAACCGCAGGGTGAGCCTGGAAATATCAAAGGAACAGCCTGAGGTGCCTTTGCCCGCCAAAGTGAGGCAAGGAGAGGGGTGTTTTCAGCCTCTACAGCACTCTGCTGGCCAAAAGCACGCTGCACTGAGGCTTCGTGGAGGTTGGGGAGACCAAAAACAGCCCATGTGGGGGGCCTTGCAGGGCCTCCACATGGCCCATTTTTTGGCGGCAGAGTGCGGTTGGAGGCCAAAATCGAGATGCGCAGGGGGCTTGCGGAGCCTCTGCGTGGCTTGTTTTTGGCCATTAAAGTGCTGCAGGAAGCGTCCATCCTGTCTCCCCTCCCAGCCGGCCTGCGGAGAACTACAATGCTGATCCGGCCCTCGAAGAAATCCAGTTTGACACCTCTGCCATAGACTGTTTAACAGAGAATTATTAAAATATGCCCACTATCTGAAATTGTGTTACAAACTAGTGTGCCTAAAGTTGAACTGAATTACATTCAATAATAATAATAATAAAAATATTTTCCTATTGTATACAATTCATTGTAATGAGCAAAATAGGATTCTCCATGTAGAAGATCCATGTTCTTCCTTGTTTCTTTAGGCACTAGGAGGTATATGAGCAGCTTGATCAGGGAAACTGTTGGTGTTTCTTTAAACTTTATGCTGCTTATTTCAAAAGATGTAGGATAGGGCTCTCAAACTCCCAGGCCAGATGTGTCATCCACTGGCCATACCCAGTGGGGGGAGGGGGGGGAGTCCCGATATGTCACATGATGATGCCATGATGCTGTGAGTTCGACACCCCTCATGCAGAAGAAGCTCTCCCTTGTCCAACAGGTTTTTTTTTTATATAAATAATGCTTGGATTGTATATATCTGATCTCAGGTGGACGGAGTGCTCCCCTCTTGGTCCTGTTAGAGCTTCAAAGGTGGTTAATCCTATTAGGATAATATTTGTGGATATTTAAACTACTTCTTTAGTAATTCCACACCTATCTGTATGGGCAGTTGCAGCCAGTAATCATGCAGTAGCCTAAATGACTCATTCCAATTCTAGGACTGTGATTCTACTATTGTAAATAATACTAGCTAAAATTCTAAATCTATTACTGGAACACCACTACCACCACCACTCCTGATATATCTGGCTCCGATTGTTTAAAAGAGCTCTGAAAACTTCCTCTTTTCTTAGGCTTTGGGTTATAGTGGGTGGGTGAATCCTATGCATCAGGTTATAATTTAATGGCTACTTTTTATGGTGTTTGGTGGGATTTTTATACTTTAATTGTATTGAATTGTATTTATTATGTCCTGTCAGGACTCATTGGATAGCCTCATAAACTTCTAAAATAAATATATAAATAAGAACATGCATACCTTTGGATATTTCTTGCTCATCTGTTTTGCTGTGTCTTTGGTTGAATCTCGTGCATTAACAGCAGAATGCACTTTCTGTTCCTTGGCTTCTCTAAGGGCTCTTTGGGAAGGTCCCACTAGTCCAGCCTCTCTATCACACCAATGACCCACTGCAAGGCACAATTTATTACTTTATTACTTTATTTATTACATTATTTCAGTTACTTAAGAACTTCTTTATATACTGCGCATTTAGACAGAACATTGTTTTATTCCCAGAATGGTAAACTATCATTTATGAAGATATAGAAGAGCATTGGCCCCAAGACAGAACTTTGTGGTACCCCACTGATTACTTCCCTCCATGTACACGTAGTACTGTTAAGGACAACTCGTTGAATATGGTTTGTCAGCTAGTTACAAATCCATCTGGGGGTGTTGCTGTCTGCCCCACATTTTTCTAGCTTACCAAGAAGTAAGTTGTGGTCTACTTTGTCAAATGCCTTGTTAAAGTCTAAGTATACTGTGTCCACAGCATTTTGCTAGACTACTAATTTAGTAACTGTCAAAGAATGTAATAAGACTGGCTTGGCATGAATTGTTTTTAACAAACCTGTGCTGACTGCTAGTTATTACTTTACTCATTTCTAGCATTCTGGCAGATGTGTTTCTTTATTATCTTTTCCAATATCTTCCCAGGTATTGATGCTAGCTGACTGGTCTACAGTTTCCTGGGTCTGGGTCCCCTCCCCCCCTTTTTTTGGAAGATGGGAACCACATCAGCTTTTTTCCAATGCTCTGGTAGTACACAAGTGTTCCTGGAATTTTTTTTAAGATATGGTACAATGGTTCTGAGATAACATCTGCCAGCTCCTTCAGAATTCTTGGATGTAATCCGTCAGTTTCCGATGATTTATATTCATCAGCATCAGACATCTCTTACTATTCTCTTGCTTATTTTAATTTTTATTTCTAGTCTGTTTTTGGTAGGTTGGGCTTTAATTTCTTTTTTATATATAACTTTTATTGTTTTATCAATGTATAAAATGCAAAGAAAAATAAAAAGTAGGAAATTAAGGGAAGGAAAAAGGAAGGGGGGAAATATGAGGTACGAGGGAAGAAAGGAAAAGGCGTTGACTTCCGACTCTTTTTGGCACAGTTCAACACAGCAACATCACAACCTCAACTTTTTACTTTTATACATCGGTATATAACTAGCCATTTCTATAACAACGAATCTATTTAATTAGCAAAACCAAAGTCAAAGTTTCATTTTTTCCCCCTCAAAAGCACAAAATCCAGAAGTGATATCCAAATAAAATAAATGAATAAATCCTCTTTGAAAAGAACCATCAATCTAACCATTACAGCTTTATCTTCCTTGCTGTTGAAATAATGTATTTCTATTTGCACTTAATAATCTTTATAAACTATCACCATTTATATTAACAAAATTTACTGTATTCTTTCAGATTTAACCTTAAAAGAAAAAAATATTTTCCTCATCCATTTTAAAACACCAAGCTTTCTTTAAAAACATTTCCAAAATTGAAAAATTCAAAAAATCTTTTTTGACTTTCTCTTAGCATACATACTTTAAAGCTCACTTTCAGAGAAATAAAATACCAACTAACTCCAATTAAATTTAGATCATTCCTCCAAGTTACCCTCATAGAACATTTTTTCTTCTTCTTGTATACATTATTTTTAAAGTTTTAGATTTCCTTAGACTAATACATCTTTTTTTTAACCATATCAAAAGTGTATCTTTTCAAATACACTTTCAATAATAGTTTACAAACTTTAGGAATTACTTAAACAATATATATAAAAGGAAAAATACATTTTCAAACTTAAAATTAAATTATTCTTTCAATTACAAATCCTAATCCCAATTGACTAATTCATTTTAAGTCACTTTTTCCAGCTTGTCTTCATGGAATAAAATATTTTTCTTCTTGGGAATGTTTATCATAAGCTCTGTTTTTCCCAAGCATTTCTCAACCTTGTTAATATCCATGAGGAAAAAGTCCCAAACTTCTCCTTTTAAAAGTTGCAAATTTTCTTGGAGCTCTTCTTTCATTTGTGTTGGGAAGCTTCTATTTAAACCCTCATAATAAAAATTTATGTTAGGTTTATATTCCAGAATTACAGTTGACTCCTCTGCCTTGTCACTTCCTTGTGAAATTGATTCAGTGGTTTGGTAATTTACTACACATATTTGCATCTTTGAAGTAGTTTGAATAGTCTTTTTAACATCCTTGGAGCATAGTTGTTGTATGAACTGATGGATTTTATTTAAAGATTTTTCAGTTAAACGTGTAATATTTTGTTCCTCCATCTTATTAACTCTTTCTTTAGTCAAAAGAGCTTTTTTGTAAGTCACTTAATAATTGCTGACCAATCAGGAATCATAAAAATTGGAAAATTGTAGTTTAGCCACATACAGCAAAGCAGACCAAGCTACTAATTACTAAAAATAATAAACTAGAAGCACAACTTTCTGCCCTTATATTTCTCCATCTATTTTTTTTAAAAAAGATACCATTCTTCATTATTTTAGCTTGCTTTAGTAGCCATCTTCTTTGTTGTTTAACTAAAAAAAAATTCCCAAAATGGTGCAGAACTTCAAAAAGAAATAACAGGCTGTAGCTAAAGAGACACTCTCTTACCTTAGTAAAGATTAATATCGTCTCCCTAAAAATAGGACCTACCCAAAAATAAGCCCTAGCTCAGTGTTCATGGCTGCACCGAATATAAACCCTACCCCTAGAGTAAGGCCTACTTAAGAGCCTGTGCAGCCCATACAAGCCCATTCTGCCTTGCTGCTGCCGACATGAGGCAGTGGGATAGAGGATGAAATGAGGCGGGGGTGGATTGGTGGAGGACAAAACAAAGTGTGGGGTGGAGGTCAAAATGAGGCGAGCGGATGGAGGATGAAACAAGGCTGGAGGATGAAGCTTCTCCTTACTTGCTGCCGCAACAAAGGAAGCTGAGTGATGCACTGGTGTCATGGCCACTAAGTGAGGTGGAGGGAGGACAAAATGAGGTGATCTGGGGATGGAGGATGAAGTTTATTCTCCAAGCTCGTCGTCACAACAGAGCAGAAGGCTGAGTGGTGCATCAGTGCTATGGCCACAAAGCAAGGCAGTGGGGGGGTGGTGGAGGATGAAGCCCCAACGGTATCCTTGGCTGCCCAGCCTGCAGAGCCCTGATGCTGGCGGAGTGGGGTGGTGGCTGGAGCAGCGCCTTCCATGTCTCACCCAGTGGTGATGGCCAGCAGGCTGCCTCCCGCCACCACTTGCGTTCCACCATCGGTTGCCTGGAGCCCTTGGGGGGTGTTACCTTGCCACCTGTTTTACAACTCCCGCCCAGCTCCCCTCGCTTCCCCAAAGCTTCCCTTCCCTAACCTGCTTTCCAGCTCCATCCTCCGCCGCCATCTGCAGGGCAACCAAAGAAGTCTGTGGGGCTATTGGTAAAAAAAATGTGCAATAAGACCTTCCAACTTTGCAAGAACTTTTTTTTCCTTTGTGACAAGTTGGAAGGTAAAAAAGTTTTACTTTACTTTTTTTTAGTTCCACAAACTTCTTCCGTTGCCTTGCACATGGCAGCAGAGAATGGAGCCGGAAAGCAGGTCAGTGAAGGTTGCCCTGGTGAAGGGGTTAGGATCTGGCATTTTGGATTGCACGCTCCCATTTTGGCACTGAAAAGATTAGCCGTCACTGAGCTAGTGCATTAAACAAACATCCTTCAATTCTTCTATCTTTACTCCCCTATACGATGAATGGGTCACATTATGGGTCTCCTTTCAGCTCCGTTGTCCTAAAGTAACAGCAGAAGGTAGTGAATGTACTTCATGGCAAGAATGGGATCAAACAATTTCTCTGAATATGCTCTAGTGACAACCAGCCACCAAATGCCCCCAGGTGGTATCCCTCAGAAGGTGAGTGACTAAATTAATCAAAATCTAGCAGATAAAGTCTCCCATTATTATTTTTTTAGTTGGGATAGGAAGACAGACTCAAGATTTAGAAGGTTCTTGACAAACTTGTGCATTGGTCCCATCCATCAAGATACAGTTCAGCTGTGGAAAAAGGTCCTGGACTTAGATAGAAAAAACCAAATGTGTAGTAGGTTCAGAATAGATGGTGCCTGGCTCAACAGTCGTAACTGTGGGAGGCATCGAGGTGTACTAGTGATTGGAGCTGGATGAGAAACAAAGAGGCAACTGGAATCCAGGTGACTAAATGGCAGCTGAGATTAAAAGAAATCCTTCAAACCCTGAAAGATGGCTTGCTCTTCCGCGAATCTTTAAAATTGGTTCCTTTTATCAGAAGTTTACTCAGCTGTCTTGTGCATATTGGGAAATTAGGGATGAATCTTTTATTTAAAAATGCAAGGTTCTCCAAACAATGTAGAGTTTTCACATTTAAGATGTTTGTCATGTGAAAACATACTGCACTTTAGCAGGATTCATCTCTACCTATTCTGCAGAAATCCAATAATCCAAATAATACAAATGGTTACATTTGTACAACTTAGCAAAAAAGGACTGGGAAAAATGCAGGGGTGGGGAGAATTAATACATTTCTGATGTGAATTTTATGTAAGGATGTATCTACTGAAAAAAGGCACAATGTCATCCTAGTACAGCTATACATTTATCTAAAATATTGGAAATCTGGAGAAAATCTCAGAGTAATTGACCAATCCATAGGGTATTACTGTGGATGTCAAAAGCTATTAAATATTTATGGATGTCTCTTATTCAGATCCATTCTTCTTAAGACCAATATAACAAAAACACAATATCTTCTGAAGGTAACTTAACAGATCTGAAACAAGAGGTATTGGGTGATAGTCCAACCTAATGGATATAGAGCAGTGTTTCTCAACCTTGGCAACTTGAAGATGTCCGGACTTCATTCGCTGGCTGGGGAATTCTGGGAGTTGAAGTCCGGACATCTTCAAGTTGCCAAGGTTGAGAAACACTGCACTACAGTCATTAAAAGTTAATTTCATATTTCTCAAGATTCCTATAACGATACTGTCATTCATAAATTATACTTGTGCTCAGTTTGAAGGTTACTACCATAATCACCAAAAGGTTTTGAGGAAGCAAAACATCTGGAAAAAGTGTTGTCCAGTGTTACTAGCAAGATACTGTCTG